TTTGGACGGAAGCCTTTATAAGGACCTTATAACATGGCGTAAAATATTGATATTTAGTGTCAAACCGAAAGTTGCGCCCGTTACTCCACCTCAGCCACCTGAGGTCATCTAAGGTCATGAAAGGTAAATAATAGTTTTATACGTGGCCGAGTTATGCGCCGATTTGTCAACTAGTGTTAAAAGGCGAAATTCAATCTTTGATCATGGTGACCTGACCTTTGACTTAACACGCGCAGTGGAAGGGTTGCGAGTACTACGCCCAGTGGAAGGGGGGGGCGGATGTCGCCCCCCCCTAAGATCTCAGCTCCCACTGGAGCTAGAAAGACGAAATTTGGAGGGTAGGTGGGGGCCATGGGGAACTCTGTTGTGTGTGAATTTCATGACCCTAGGTCAATATCTTCAAGGTCAAATGAGGTCAAATGTGGTCAAATCTGCCATATTAGCGACTTTTTTGCGTTTACACGCCGATAACTCAAAAAGTTACCGGCCGATTTTTTTCAATCTTTCACTTTACGAAAGAGCAAACATTTGTGAGTATGTATGGTGAATTTCTAGATAATCCAACAATAAATATGGCAGTTAGAAGCCTGCGAAGGGTAAGATGTCGCCGGCTGACGCGGCATCGGCCGACGCGGGAAACGCGGCAATCACAATTTTGTGTTTACAAACTCATAACTCAAGTTGTTACCGGCCGATTTTCAAAATTCTTTGACCATATGATTGCCTGTACATTTCTCAGTCTTCTCACCGAATTTGACGCGAATCTAATATAATCAGCGGTAAGGAGCGCGATGTAAAGACGGAACCGTCCCGCCCCGGCACAGTCTACAATTCAGGCGGCGCGTAACGGCTAGCGCCGGCCGCCGCGCCGCCGCGCCGCCGCGGCGGCAGGATGTTTGACTTTACACCGCTATTACTAGAAAAGTTGTGAACCGATTTTCTTACTTCTTGCACGAGAAGATCCGCAATTCAATTCTAGACAGGTAGCCGAAATTTCACATTGATATTATGCTTGCGGCGCGAGTTATTGGCGAAAAACAGGAGGGGTGGGCGAAATCCGCCCCCCCCTTCCACTGCGCGTGTTAACCTAAGAATTGACGCCGCAATTCAGCAGCCAGGAAGCCAGACGGTCGCTTTCGAGAGGATATACGTACGAGAGGATATACATGTAGTCCGGCCAAAAACTTGCCCTCACCTTGGCCCTCACCACCCAAATGCATTGTCTGGGGAATGGGGGGGGGGGGCAATGAGCGTCAGCAAGGACTGAGTAGTCAAGTGTGACAACGTGAGTAAAGGATGCAGGTGGATTGAAACTTCCTTAGGAAAACAATGCTACGAATGAGCGAGAAAGCCATTGACGTCGGCTTAGCTATGCCGGAAATGGGAGCCTGAATGACAGCGCAGATGGATTACCAGGGAGCAAACGGCAAAAAGCAAAGAAAGGGCGCGTCAAGAAGCGCGGAACGGTTACCAAAATATCCGGGCCTGGCCTGTCTGTACACACACCTGGGACGAGACGCCTGAGCGGGCACATTCCACTGGCCGGTGTCGAAAACAAGGGTCCGGACTCGGCCGGGTTCGGACTCGACCCTCCCAGGCGGCGGCGAAAGGGATCAGGCGGTTCGGCCCGTCAGGCCGGGCCCGGGCGGCCAGCGCGTTCGCGTCCGGCCGGCCGTCTGCCTAGCCGGCGAATATGCCTATGCATACGACTTGTTGTTAGGCTCGCGGTGGTCGTAGTGTATCAGACAGGGAACCATATTTTGTGACCAATCTGCAGCAGAATCCATATGAGAAGCATTTAGTCCACAAACCGCATGATAAGCAGATGGAAATCGCCGCTCATGATTCTAAATACAATAAATTACAATAAAACGGATATTGAATACCTATCTTTGTCCTGGGATTTTCCTGGCGACGAAAGAGCAGCCAGGACTTCCAACTTGCCACAACCGACTCGACATTCTTAGCGATCACGTGGAATTGTGATTTTATACACTCCTTGCAACCTCCCTTGCTTAACTTTTGCACTCGTTGACCTTGGGTGGCATCATATATGACTTCACTCAGGTCATCGGAGTTTTTTTTTGTCAATCTGCCCGGATCATATCGAGCTAGCCAGTTGGAAAAGCTACCAATTGACTCAGCAGGGCCTGCCAGATCGAATAGCATGCAGCTAAACCCCATTCGACCAGCTTGCTGACCCGAGGGGATTTGACCTGACCTTTACCTGAGGTCAACACCCTAGTCTACCTAGCCCAAGCAAAAAAGCAAAAAAGTACATTTTTTCAAAACACCTGACCATGAAGAGCACGATGGTGCCGCCGGAATCACGTCACTACGAGCATTTTTTTTTGCGTCATTCACCAAAACTGAACCCTTATATCCTGAGGCACTTGACCTGACCTGAGAGGTCCCCGGTTAATCCAATCGGATACCAGTCGCTGAGTCTCGTAGTGGTATACCTACACGCGCTCATTTTTCCCCGCGAGGCTCTAAGCTCAATTAGAGGCAAAACGGCGAGGAGGTTCCACCAGTTCCACCTATATGAAAAAATTATAGGTCCGGCGAGGGCTGTCAAATTGAAAATCGCAACATTACTACATAATTCCGAGCTCACGCTGCTGCCTCAATTCCGTACCTACAATCGTCACAATCTGGACCGGTTCGCACCTATTGGAGCGCGTCAGTGGCTGAGCCGGATGTGGGCGTCCCGCGCGACTCAGTCGGGGTTGTTTTCCGCTCCGGCTGTCACGCTCGGGCTGCCGTGAGGTCACCGCTCGGATGGAGCATTGTGGAGGGACGCGTGTATGGACGGTACGCCTGGTAAATAGGCACTGGGCCGGGGCTGACGAGTTGTGGCCCCGAGTCTGTCTCCTTGATCAAGAAGGCTGGTGTTAGGGCATCAGACTTATAAACTGTTGTGGTCATCGTATGTAAATTTGCTTATCTGGTTGGCACTGCTATAATCATTTCCATTTTACATGAATAAAGTTACGATGTGATACAGGCTATATGAGTTGTCTTAAATTTGAAAAGGCGTCTGTGATTGTTGTATTGGAATCACACGACGAATGCGTCTCGCGAAACTGTATGCCAACGTTATATGCTAGAGCTAAAAGAATGCATGTGAAAAAAGTCATACCTTCTCAAGGTTCGACGTATAGGTTATTGTGTGATGGGATTGGATGACGAATGATCATGATGGACAATGTTTAGGCTGGCAATTTATTATTCATGTCAAGATAGCGATATGTTTTGTTTTAATCGACGGTATTCAACACTGATGTTCAGAATTCAGTCATCCTCTTTTTTCTTTTTTCTTTTTTCTAAGTCACAACCCCAACAATATGTATATGGGGCAATTTTATTATTCATTGTCTCGCGTGACCGAGCAGCCTGCATGCTTCGTTTGGAAAATCCCGGAATAGTTAGATGCTCGTAACTGGCTCTCTCTGCTGTGAGTCATGAGTTCTGAGTTACGACTGTAAGTCACCAGGCCGAAGGACGGCTTGTGACGCTGTAACTGACGTTATTACGCTCCGGAGGGGGTCCGGGACAATGGCCGTGATGGTGCAATGCGTGACGTGACTGTTACGCTCTACGAGCGACTTATCGGTTGGGAGGAGTGGACTGGAAAATAGAAACGAATGGAATCAAAGAGAGTCGGACAGAATGAGGGACAGGGAGAGAGAGAGAGAGAGAGAGAGAGAGAGAGAGAGAGAGAGAGAGAGAGAGAGAGAGGAAGGAGATAGAGAGTTAAGGGGGAGAGAGAGAGAGAGGAGAGAGAGGAGAGAGAGAGGAGAGATAGAGAGTTAAGAGGAGAGAGGGAGGGAGAGAGAGAGAGAGAGAGAGAGAGAGAGAGAGAGAGAGAGAGAGAGAGACAGAGAGACAGAGAGACAGAGAGACAGAGAGACAGAGAGACAGAGAGACAGAGAGACAGAGACAGAGAGAGAGAGAGAGAGAGAGAGAGAGAGAGAGAGAGAGAGAGAGAGAAAGATAGAGATAGACATGGGCACGGCTGTATATCATTAGGCTTATAGACACGACAGACGTACTGCCTATAATTACGGCTTTCCGTGACCTGGATGGATACCAGTGCCGTCCCAGTCCTTCCCAGCGATGATGTCGGGGAAAATAGTCGTAAATGACCCGAGGCCTCGGTCTCATGGACCATATGACACATTGACAGACTGCGAGCGGCTTCTGACAGCTCTTCAAAGCAAATTATTTTTATAGTCTGCTAGAATAGCGTGCCATCAAAAGATGTCGATGAGCATTCGTGCGCCGAATGCAAACTTGTTAAGAATGGCACCACTTCCCTTAGGTATATGTGCAACTTAATGCTAGAATTGAATCACGTTGCAGATTACGTCCACGCAAGCCATGAATTTACGTAAAACTAATGCATCCATTATCTTTATCAATCGAGACTTTCCGTCAGTGGTTTCACGAGCGCGTCATATCGCTGCAGTCATGTCGTGCAAGGAAAAGCGTTGCAGCTCAAGAACTGTTTTGGTTGAACATATCTAACAACGTTAGTATCAACCATTTAACTTGGTATATAATGCACACGTGGGATGGGCTCGAGGATAATGGGCTACAATTGATCATGTGATACAATGGTTACGTTATAAAACATTTTATTTTCAGATATGTCAACGCTTACCATCAATGGTTATCGTCAATGGATATATAAAAATCACATGAGCGTATGGTTTATGAGCACACAGCAATGTGATGGAACCATAAGCTGCAAAATCAAGCGCTGCCAGTGAGTCGCAACTTGCAAGCTCCGTCTGCTGCGTTATGCGTACATGGTTATGCGTGGCCTAATACTCTTTGATATGACACAATGTATACTGCTTATGCGCTTTGCACTAATTAATAACCTAACTACATAGGCATTAGGCACATCATTGCAGCATACACACGTAACAGCATTCCCTTAAATTGGTTAATACATACATAATTATCCCAGATCAAATAACTTCAGAGTTCAGTTCCAACGTACCCACATTTCGTAGTATGTATGTGCCAATGATTATTACACACAAATTCTCATCCACAAGACAAGATCTCAATGCATCGCTCACCAACGAAGCGCTCATCAGTCATCACCCATGGTTCAGGTAGATCACATTTATGTGTGACTTACAAACTATCAAGGGCACCAAAAACAGGTTTGATCGCACAACGACGCTCGATCGTTTCTCGGAACGAGCCTTGTTTTGTTGATGTACTAACCGCACTTTTCCTGAGCTGCAACGGCGCACCGAGCCGAAACACTAAACCGTGATCTGTGACAGAGATTACCACACATACTTGGAACTAAGCTATCCGCATGTGCTTATTGTGGTCGAGTTTGGTAACATGGGACATAGCATGTTTGCTTATGAAACGTTTACTTTTTTCCTTTCGATTTTTAGTTATCTTTGTTGTCCTTCAGCTGTAGAAATGGGCAAGTTTTTCTTCCCAGCTATGACTTCAAGTGACATTATTCCACAGCTTCGTGGTCATAATAAGTAGGAACATGTAGAACCCGAACCAAACTTGCATGCCCTCAACAACTCCGGTGAAGGATGTCTACTCCAGCCTTTTTCGGGTGAACCGCTGACTACCACAAACATTCACCGAGTAAGGCCCATAGCCACCACTCTGCGCCTTGCGCTGTTTGCCTTCGACGTCCCTGCAGCTCAGCGTCGAAAAAGGAAGCACTGCCTGGCGGCACATCACTCCGTGATCACCACCTCAAACCTCCCCTCAGCATCGCGACACGCGCTGATACACTGTCACGTCAGTCCATGTCCAGTCGTGACTTTATGCCCACGACTGTCAGCTGCACCTCCACCTTCCTCAGTTTTTTCACCCTGTCCAGTTTGGACGGACGACGTCACAGTTACCACCGCAGTGGATTTTTTGGACTCGCGGATTCCGCGGCGGATCTTCAGGCGAGGTCAGCGGACGTGGGCCGGTCGGTGGCCTCTGAAGGCGGCCCAGGGTGCTGATCAGCCGGACCGGAGTGCTCGTTACCGCTGTGGTCACTGTGATCATGTGCGGCGTGCCCGGGGTGTTGATCAGCGGGACCGGAGTGCTCGTGACCGCTGTGGTCACTGTGATCATGTGCGGCGTGCCCGGGGTGCTGATCAGCCGTACCGGGGTGCTCGTGACCGCTGTGGTCACTGTGATCATGTGCGGCGTGCCCGGCCTGGTCACTGTCGCTGTGACTGGTGCCATTTTTACCGCCGAGCTCTGTATGATCGTGACCGTCATGTTTGGGGTGATTTTGATCAACATTTTTAGGGGCGTGGTCGAAATGATCGTGACCAGTGTGATCACTGTGATCGTGATCGGCCATTTGGCCAACAGTGTCATTTGACAGCGGACCCAGATGGTCGTGACCGTCTGCATGGAAATGATGCTGTTCGTCTTTAGGGTGATCTTTTGCTGCCCCGTCGGGAACCGTCCGGACGTCTACGGGACTCTCCGTGGCTCCATCTGAGTCGAACAGCTCGTAAGTGGTGTCATACTGTTCCTCTTCACCTTCGCCTGACTGGCTGGGTTGATCGGAATGAGCATGATCAGCGGAATGGTCATGATGGTCGGAATGACCGGAATTTTCGCTAATTGAGTGATCATTTACTGGGCTAGAGTGGTCATGATCGTGATGGGAATGATCATGTCCATTGTTTGAGTGATTGTTATTGGAGCTGGGATTGTTTTGGTTATGGCTATGGTCGTTTAAATCATGGCTGGAATGATCATGATTAGAATGATCACTGTGATCATGGCCAGAATTGCCCGTATGCTTGCGATCAGTAGACGGAACGACAGAAGCCTCACTAGCACCAGAGGGAGTTGCTTTTTGGGAATGGTCATGGTCATGATCATGATCGTGACCTGATTTATGCTTATGTCCGCTGTGCTGAGATTCCTTAGAATGATCGCGGTGATCATGGTCATGATCATGGTCATGATCATGGTGCTCGGAGTGATCAGGCTGGTCGCCTTGATAGTCGTGATCGTAGGCGTGAATGGCGTCCTGCACACGCTTGTTGACGTCGCCGTGCTGGTCTCCGCTCGCTCCGTGGCCGTGACCGTGGGCCATCGCGCCATGACCGTGATGGCCGTGACCGTGAGCCCCCACTGCGTGCGCGTGTCCTCCGTGAGAGTGCGAGTGGCCAGCACTGTGGTGGATCACCAGCATCAGCGCAAAGCCCAGCAGCATCGCGAAGAACTTGATCAGGCCCGAGCCCGGCTTGTGCTGCTCGGGGCCGAGCAGCTCGAAGAAGGTGACGTACAGGATGGTGCCGGCGGCGAGTCCTTGCAGGATACCGGTGGCCAGCAGACTAGCGCCGCCCTGCAGCTCGGGGCTGGCCACCAGCAGACCGAGCAGGACGCCCAGCGGCGTCGCCATAGAGAAGATGCACAGGTTGGTTATCACGAAACACATCGAGCGCTTTGCGGTTAGCAGCTGCTCGCCAATGCAGAACGACACAATCGCCTTGTGCGCCATGATGGCCGCGAAGAAGAGCCACACCTCGCGCGCCGAGTCCTCGAAGGCGGCGGCGAAGCCCTCGAACACTGAGTGCACCGACAGCGCGATCACGATCAGGTAGGCGCGGAACGCGTGCTGTCCGCCGATGTCCACCACGTGACTGTGGCCCGCAGCGCCATGAGCGTGCTCTTCCTCCTCGGAGCCCGTCGACGGGTCGTCATTGGCCTTCTCACCGGCCTCGGCGGCCTCGGCGGCGGCTGCGGCGCGGCGGTGCTTCCTGCGACGGCCGTGCTTCATGAAGGTGTGCGCCATTTCTTCGATAAAGAACACCAGGAAGAATCCCGCGCAGAGGAACAGCTCGCCCAGAGGAAGGTCCAGCTCGGGAAGCAGGCCCGCCTTCTCGATCTCGGCGAATACCTCGCGCGACTCAGCGATCATGTGTGTGAAGATGGTTGCCAGCAGCACGCCGGCGCCCAGACACATGACACACGACACTAGTAGGTCACCGCGCCGGCGCAGCGCGGACAGCAGCGCGCCCATCCGGCCCGTCTGGAACCGCTTGGTGCCAAAACGCGCGAGCCGCAACAGCATCAGTGGCAGCAGGCCGCACAGCAGGGTGACTGTAAAGAACAGCACCAGCACCACGATCTTGGTGATGAGCACCGAGTCCGCCATGGCGGCGGCCGTGACGTCACCTGCGCGCCGGCAGTGCGGCGCTCGACACCCGTCACACGCGCCGCCTCCCAGCTGCGGCTCCGTCCCACGGCACCACGATGTCTATCACCTGTCAGATCCACCCCGCGACAGCCGCGCGTGCACAACCCTCGGGCTCGCCGGCGGCCGACCAACTGGCCGGGACGGCGCGCGGCGGCGCGGCCCGGCACTAACACGCCCCGGCGTGGCCGCCGCGAGCGGCCTGACCTTGGTGAGTGCCGGGTGGCGTGCCAAGGAACAGACACGGAGCTGGCGACCGGCCGGCCCGCCCGCCCTGGACCTATACCCGTGCGCTACCTGGGGTGCGCCAGCCACCCGCCTCCCCGCGCGCAGCGGGAGCAGGGCGCAGCCAGTCGACGCCGCCGCCCGCTCCAGCGCCGGTAGGTATTTCCAGCGCCGGAGATGATTGTGGTTAGCCGGGGGTTGGTATTGTCTAAGGGAAAACCATTCTTGACGCGGTGAACAGCGTCATCAATGCTCACCTTGCATCTTCTTAGAATCCGGGAGCTCGCCCTCTAGGGCGCCATAGGTATTGAGTTTCTTAAAAGCACTTAGAACAATGATTTATTGTTGAATACAAATCCTCCTTGACTATGTTCAGCCAAAGAAAATGCGGGTTCTGAATGACCGTGCGGACTAGCGCGCTGGTGGCATGCTATACGTCGGTCGACCAGACGGGCTCGGCAGTGCGCCTGTTAGCGGAACGCGGCGCCTGTCGCCAGCCGCCTAACAGGCCACGTGTCCCCCGCCTCGAAATGACGACTCCGCGTCTTTGAAATCCGAGAAATCCGACACTCATAAGATGTGCAGGGCTTAATCGCCGCACATAGTCGCTGTGCCGGAAATAACTAACTGGTGTTATCCGTGAGACAGTGCACTAAAGCTGATTATGAGAGGTTATCTGATCACTAAATGCTCTAAGTTACCGGTCGTGGCGGAGCCAGAATTAGCGGCCAGCAGCGCTAACAACAGGGCCGCTTTCACGACGGGTTATTTGGCAAATGCACAAAAATAAACAAATATCCGTGTTGTCGTAGCTGGAACAAGCTATCGCTCAGAGCTATCGGGATCGCTCGGACATTTGGTATACCTATAGTGGGCATACCTACTTGCGAACTACACGTCCACATGTAACCCCGACGATGCATGAATAAAGTCGACGAATAATCAACGGACCGGTGGTCGACGGTCAGTGCCTTTGCAACGCTCATTTACTTGCTGATTATCATAGGCAGCGGAACGGGGAGGGCAACAGAGCACCGTGCCCCCCTTTGCTTTTGGCATTTTAACATTAGCCCTATGGGCGTTGCATGGAAAGAATGGGATCAAAAGTCGACAGTGCCCCCCCCCCCTAATTGAAGGTGTTTCGCCACTACTGCTGATTATATGGGGTAATAAGGGGTATGTTACTATCACGTTGATGATAAACAATATGGCTGCTTAGTAAATAAAAATAACGTTTTTTTTCCAAAATCTTTAGGTCATCAATCATTCAATTATGGTCGGCAGCCTGTTTTATATGGACCGGATGGAATCTTGAAGCACTCGGTTAGAAGGCCGGACACTCCATGACATCAACAGCTACCGTTTATTAGGTCTATTAGCCAGCCACAGCATAGCGGTGATTGGCAATACTACACTCGCTTTTGGAAATGACGGTCCTAATAAATGGATTGCCCATGGTTGTGAAAAGTTATATGGGTTCTCCTGTGTCACGTAGTGAAAAGCTAGTCCTTGGACAGACTGCGCCATCAGGAGAAAGCGCGTTTCGAATTTTTAGTGCTACCGGCCGCGAACGGAACGTCGGACAGAGCGTCCGACATTCGCAGACCAGTTATACCTATTACATACCTATTACCTGTAGCGTTCCTTGGGCCGAAGGTAACCAGGCCCTTTCGACAATCAGCCTCCTGAACTTTCGATAAATCTAATAAGATTTCAGTAAGAAATATTTTTATCTCAATAAGGACGCTTTTCCGCCAGCTAATCGAAAGCTTCAGGCTGAAAACATAAAAGCTAGATAGGCCTTACCCCCGTTTACATAGGGACTGTTGCAAGCTTATATTTCCGCCCGTTATGTTGCAAGAGATGCCAGTGGTGCTTTACAATTTGCAAAATTAGGTATCCCCTCTAAATATGCAAAGAATACTGCATCGAAATTGTCGCAAATTAAGTGAGATAGAGCCTCGTCAAAAATGCTATGTAAACGCGACTCATTGTTACTGTTCTTTTTCCAAAGAAAGGTTCTGGACATTCCCAATCCCACAAATATGACCACTGGTCATATGAACTGGTCATTGACCAGTCCATATGTTATCATATACCGCCATACCACGGTACACATCGTCTCGTCTCGTCTCTGTGTGGTCGGCCTGCCGCCAGGGGCGATTTCGGCCGTGCTGTCCTTTTGGGTTGACTTGTCCTAGGAGGCAGGCCTCCTGCGGTTAGCGATACGCCAGCTGTGGTTCTTGGCGTGCTTGGCGTGGGCAGCGAACAGGTTGGTGTCCTCAGAGAGGCCGGTCAGATAGGCCTCGCCGGCCTTTTGCCGAGCCGCAACGGCACTGCTCTGGAAGCGCAGGTGCCTTGCAGCGCTTCTTCTTCTTTTCTTCTTTGTTGTTTCCTGGGCAGTCACACACACATTTAGGGTGAGACTAAATGCTTACTTCGAAATCTAAGCTGTGTTGCGGCATTGGCGGTTATGTGCGGCGTGTATGCCGCATGATTAGTAAGCGGCGACCACTAAATTAAAGACTTAAACGCTCCAACCTGTTTTCAATGAATAACACTGCATACCAAAAATGCCAATCGCTCTCGTCATAAGATATTTAGATTTAAATAACTAAGTTATCTGCATCATCATTTTGAACCAAATTAATGCCTTCAACTTAGTAGGTACTCACTCATTCCTTCCTTCGTTGGCTCCAAACAGTCTTTCGATTGTCTGGAAATCGTATGCCAAATCCCGCACCTGTATACGACTGGTGCATATAAAGGCCGATGTAAGAATTTCAATAGGCTCTCGCATGCGATTTCCTGGCTACCCAAAAAGTCTGTTTCAGTCATGCTATCAAAACATGGTATGTCAGCCCTGTCACCAGCTTATGACTGCTCTACTTGTAGTGCCCCTGACCGTCACCGACTCCCTTCCCTCCTTAAAAGCCTAGTTTCTCTCCATCATCTCTACTAGATTTAGGTGATGCTCCGACAAATTCACAAACAAGACCGAACTTGTTCGGAGTTCGGACTGTGAGTTAACCCTCGCCCTTTAGGGGGGGGGGGGGGTCGAACGGACTCCCCTCGGTTTTTCGCGAATAACTCGCGTAAAAAGCGGCCGATCACGACGTAACGTTTAGTACCCTCGCGTTGATCAATTTTACACCTACCCTGAAAATTTTATGACCCTGACGCAAATAACCTTTGACCTGTGACCTACTTTTCGAGACCATGTTTGGCCGGAACCGCGATTCAGCGTATGTCGGCTCGCATTAGCAGCGCGTTTGCAGTCTTTTCGTGGTTTCAAGCGTTCAAACATGTGATATGATGTTGCCCCCATGCATTAGGGTGGGTGTCAAGGTCACCTGAAGGTCAGGTCAGGTCATTGACCTTTGGTGACCTCGGTTCACTTTTTCGAGTTTGACATGTTTATAGGCCAGTTTTTCGAGCTGAATTCGAATTTAGCAACCACATGAACGTTTACAAAGTAGTTTTGGTGCCTTCGTAACATGTTACGAGGCTGTCAGAGGCGGTTGACACCTACTACAAATACCCGGCAGGACCTCTACTGGTTGACCTGACCTGACCTGACCCGACCTGGCCTAAATGAATGAAGACATCATCTGTGATCAAAACTAGCATGATATTCGTGATCAGCACCCCGAAAAACCCCATAGCAGCCACACTACGACGTTCTAACAGGTCCCAATTTTCCCGCCTTTTGGGTCATTGACCTGACCTGGAAGGTCAACCGATGACCTAGGACCTTAAAATTGGGTATCATCGGCTTCCTCTCGTCACGGGCAACACGCTCGTTTTTTCCGCGAAGCTCTAGCTTGATCAGGAGCGAAACGGCAAGGGGTTATGCCTTATACGTTCGCGGCTGGAAAAACACCAATACGGGCGAGGGTCAAGTTGAAAGTATTAATTTGGTTCAAAACGATGATGTAGAGAAGTTAGTTATTTAAATCTAAATATCCTATGACGAGAGCGATGGACATTTTTGGTATGCAGTGTTATCCATTGAAAACAGGTCAAAGCTATTGAGTTTTTAATTTAGTGGTCGCCGCTTACTAATCATGCGGCATACACGCCGCACATAACCGCCAATGCCGCAACGCAGCTTAGATTTCGAAGTAAGCATTTAGTCTCACCCCACATTTATTATGATAATTTTTTTATTTTTTTTATTTTTATTTTTTTTTTTGTTTTTTTTCCTTTTTTAAATAATATATATATATATATTTTTTTTTTTGTGGGCTTTATTTTAAATATATTGTTTTTTTTTGTTTTTTTTTTTGTTGCCTCTTTTGCCTCTTTTGATATCTTAGACACATATTTTCACACACAGTCAACAGTCACACACATACAAGGAACATGCACAAAATGACACTTCAGTGATAAAAATAAAAAATATCATTTTTATTTTATCTTTTTTTCACTCTCTTTTTCTGTTTCTTTTTCTTTTTTTTTAATTTTTCTTTTTTTTATTATTATTTTTTTTTTCTTGAAATTATTTTTCTTTTCTTTTCTTTTTTTTTATTTTTTTTATTTTTTTTTATTTATTATTTTTTTTTCTTTTCTTTTCTCTCTCTTTCTTTGTTGATGCGTGGGGGGGTGGCTGACCCGGGAGGCGAGCGGCACGTCTCGAAGTTGGAGGTGGCGCCGCCCCCGCCCCCCAGGCCAGCCCGTGCTCCTTCTTTGTTGATGCGTGGGGGGCAGCCCGGGAGGCGAGCGGCAGATCTCGGGGTTGGACAGACAGACAGACAGACAGACAGACAGACAGACAGACGTTTATTCGGAGTCTCCATACAATGGGTTTTGTGACTTCCACGTCATATACAATGCGAAATAAAATATAAAATATCTAGTTAAAACCACATAGCAAAAGTACAAGCACACTAAAAACCACTAAACACCATTCCATTCCTTACTAGCACGAAAAAGGAAGCCACGGCGTGCGAGCTCGGTTCTAACACGAGGCAGATTCAATAGTCCATT